CATATCCCGATAAACTCACTGTAAATTGAGATGAATGGAGGTGAAATGTATTTTGATGACTGACCTAGAAAACACCCTAGCTTAGCAGCACAGTGCCCCACAGAGGGTCAGCGGGGGCCCCTCCAGCTTATGTGGCTGACTGGGAGCGGCAGCTCGGGCCACTGCCTAGGCTCTTGAAAGGTAGCATAGCCCATTATCACTACTAGCTGGGAAAGGACCCAGATTCAAAGTATGGTTTTTACTGAGTGCTTCTGCACCATAATGAAGTGAAAAATCATAAACCATTGTAAGTGAGGCGCCATCTGTAAAATGTGACTCGGTGTCTTTTTTGAGTCTGCCCCCGCTGAGATCAGAGATCTGTGGCTGGGTGTCACCTTGAGATTCCTGTTTCTGTTCCGGGAGAGGAAAAAGCGTTACACCATGCATTAGATAATCCCTGCGAGAAAAACGAAGACATGGCAACTGAGTTGGTCCTTGGTAACTGGAGGAAATCACCCCTTTGGCAAAGGGCTAGATGCAGGGCTGGTAATGTCTGGGTGTTTCTCACCAGCAAGGCGGGGACTGGGGCTGGGGGTGATTTAGGATGGAAGGAGCCTGGGAGGTGAGAAGAAATTCCGTGTGTCCTGGAACCTCATGAAGACTGAGGTGCTGGAGAGAGGCACCACAGACCCCAGGCAGAAAGCGAACACAGAAGCGCGGCCGGGGCAGCTGCACCATGGGCTGCGGGGCTGCCGTGCTGCCCGCGGCGGGCGGCGGGCGGCGGGAAGGGGACTGAGCAGATCACGCACCCCGCGGGGAAGGTGACTCCGGCAGCGAGCCTCCTCGGGTGACAGGATCGTGGTCAGGATCGTGGACAGGAACGTGGGTCAGGAACGCGGTCAGAGCACTCGGGAAAGGCCCTTCTCGCCAGCAGCAGTGGGCCCGCTGACAGTACAGGATCCTCTCTCCGGCCAAGATAAATGGGACCATGGGGCCCTATGACAGCCATTCTCCTTAGGAAGAGGGACCGGCTCGCCTGCCCGCAGGTGCCGCGATGGGGAAGGCAGCCCGCAGGGAGAACTCTGCTGGGGGCCCACGGGGAGAGGTTCTCCACCCTGGTCAGTGTCTAGAAGAGGACGGTTGCGGGGTGCCGCGCGAGGGCGCCACATTCAGCGGCAATGGGGGAGCAGAGCCAGAGGGGAGACACTCTGAAGTCAGGAAAGTCTGGAAAGCAGACATGTCTTCTTCACAAGCTGGCCCCAGCGAGCCGGTCAAGGCTTTTGCTGAAAGGCTGGTTCCGTACCAAAGAATGTATGGTTGGGAGTCAGGCGAAAGTTGCAGTTCTGCTGTATTCTTTGTCAAAGGCATGGTCCTGGGCAAATGATCGCACCTCCCAGAGCCTGGGTCTGTACATGGTGTAGGTATTCAACCCATGAGGCGTTCCTTAAGTGCACGCTCCATAGATGGTAGCATCGCCCACCTCTCGTTACCCGCACCACCGTGTGGTCTGCGGCAGGGCAGTAGAAAATAGCTGCTCGTTTGTCATGAAGGGGAGCAGCCTTGGGCACGCAGGAAACACATGAGCAGCTTCTAGACACGATCTCAGATGTCCTCATGCTTACATTCTGGGAGGCAGTCCTGGTGTTTCCAAGTCTAGATCAAATTGGCAAAACCCACACCAACTTTGACCTGCAGTGAAGAGTGGCTGTGTATTCTTTGAATGCTTGTGCAGAATGTTTTCTATTGTCAGAACCTCAGTGCTTTTTTATTTCTTCTGTACTATTTTTTTTTTTTTTTTTTGAGACAGGGTCTTGCTGTGCAGTTCAGACTGGCCCTAAACTATGTAGCCTAGGCTGGCCTTGAACTCACAGTGATCCTCCTGCCTCAGGCTCCTGAGGGCTAGGATTATAGGCATGCACCACCACACCCAGCAGGTTATTCATTTAAAAGCATGATTTCTTTCACTGAAGCTTACAGAATCCATTCCAAGGAAATTTGTATTAACTTGTTTAAAAGCTACTAGTCAACACGTTTTTCTGACTGAAGCCACAATTGCAAAAACAATTTCCCACCAGGATGTGATCCAGATGTGTACTAAACAGTTTTTACCTTGGGCCAGTAACTAAGAGAACAGTGTTTTGGCAAAGTGGGCGTGGCATGAGGCACCCAGTATGCCTCACCTAGTGTGTGACGGAGTACTGAGATACGCCACTGCTGTTTACTTTGTCTTGTAAGGATTACCTCTTGAGCCAGTTAACTGAGAAATCTGGGCTTTATTCCTTTGCATTTATTTTTGTGGGGATTCCCACTATTTATCCTACCATGTTATCCAAGTAAGAGTCCAATCTCACACAAACGTACAAAATTTATAAATAAAAAGCCATGGAAGTGTATGCGGGACAGTGCTCACCAGAAAGTTAAAGAATGATGACAATTCTGGTTATACTTTCCTGGAAAATGATGTAACTAGTCACAAAGAGGAAATGTGAAAGAACAAGGTGGGAATGTCTACAGGTCTCTAAAAGTAAGCGATCACTTACCTGTGTAAAACCTTTAGGGGCTGGGGACATAGCTCAGTGGCAGAGCACTTGCCTAGCACATGACTTCTTGAGTTTGATCCCCAGCACTAGGAAAAAAACTCTTCAGCAGCTGGGAGAAAATAACTGTAATTTAAAAATAAATGTTGACTTTTGAATTTGGAGATAGGTTTAAGCTGTTGAGAAACCAAGCAGCTTTTCTAGGGCTCCTCTAGGTCAGGTAAGGACCAGCTCAAACGAGCATCAGCAGGGCCTGGGCTGTTGCTTTGGCTCAGTTGCCTGCTTTTCTGCCCTAGCTTTCCTTTTCCTTCCCTTCTGCTCACTCCATTAAGTTAACCAAAGGATCAGACTTAGTAATAACCATGATGTTGGAAGTACAAGGACTATATTCATCGTACAAATTAGAATCAAGACAAGAGGACTGTATGTCGAGGTCAAGCTGAGCCAACATGACGTTACAAAAATGAACAGATAGCCCAAGCCAAGAAAGTATTTCTAAAAACTCTACTAAAAATTTAAAGGGATTAACTTTGCTTTTGGCTGGTTTGTGGATTTGTTGATTCACTGCATATTTTAGATGAAATCATAACGTGAAGACATGAAGAGCTAGTTGTTGACTATACTTGGCTTTATCTACTCCTAAGTGACCTCGGGAAACAGTGGGATGATGCTCCATGCCTCCCAGTGACAAAGGATGAAGACTCCAGCAGAGTGTAGGCAAATAGAGGCCACAAGATGGCGCAGCACCTGTGCTCTGTCCCTTGGCAACACAGTAGGCAAAAACAAAACAACTGCCACCAGTGGTAACGCGCTGGGATTCCAGAATTCATGGAATATGGAAAAAACTGGTAAATGAATCTGCCATCTCTATTCAGTGGTAAGGCAAAGGCAGTGTAATGCTTTTCTTCTAAGTCCTATTCCATTATTAACATTTAAAAAGCCACAAAACCCTCACAAAGTGTCTAGTTTACACTAAAGCTCTTATTTAGCCAACACCACCTATGAATACCATACCTCATACATCAGGCATAGGGATGGTCAGATGGTGGTGATCACACAAAGAAAAACTTGAACAAGAATTTATTTCTTAAAGTTACTTAAAGGATTAGAACTAATATATAGTAAAACATTTATGGTAACATTAAAGTGTCAACATAAAAATGATAGCTGTGGTTACAATTAGCACATGCAAATCACTGCAAGGACAAAAATTCATACAATACAGTCTTCCAAATGAAGTTAGATGAGGTGGGGTAACACAGCAAGTGAACATGGAAGGATTGCACTTACAGTGAGGGAGGCATAGCTGGGATACAAGGGAGACCTATCTAATGCTAATCTCTGCATGTCATGCTAGCAAACTGTAGGGAATATTATTCAACATACATACACAGTAAGACAATGGTTTTCAAAAATTCACCTTTTGTTTCTGACACATTATACTTTGGTATTAATATAACAGCTCTGAAATGTGTAGTTACCAGACAAAGCTTATATTCAAGGAATAAAAATATCACCATTAAGTATATTTTCTTCATGATCCACCAACTGTATGAACAATGGGGTAATGAAATTAAATAAACCTGTTTGAAGGAGTTACTAGCTGAAAAAAGTCATTAGAAATCTAGGAACAATGATTAATAGAACAACTCTACCTGAGCTGCCACCTTTTAAATGCAATGTATACTAGACTATTAAATGCATATACTAGTAGCATATGTGATGGAAAAATATTAATTCAAAAATACTACATTTGGCTTTAGAAAACTTGGTTTGGATTTACATCTGAATTGTTTATTACCAGTGAAAAGGAACAGCTGCTAAGAACCAGTTCCAGACGAACTGGGCTGCACGTTTGCTAGATCTCTCTTTGAAATCTGATAAGGCCCAATTTGAAGCTAATTCTGAATACTCTGCCATTTTACCGCTTCTAATTCTCAGAAAAATAAAAATAATCTTTTTAAAAAGTAGTCTTCACTTGAATAATATAATCTAACAGTGAATACTGCAATAGAAAGCTATTTCAATAGTTTTAAAAGAATTTAAGTTTTATGTAGCTTATTACTTTTACTCATCTCACCAAAACAAAACTTTTGAAACAGAAATCTTGGGAATTTTACATGATTGTTATAGTTTTACATTTTTTGTCATGGTTTTAACTAAGCATGTAGAAAAAAAGACATCTTTAAAAACTGTATTTGCTTGGCTTTTATTTATGCCTAGAGCTATTTTTGATGTTTTACTTTAAACGAATTTTGATAGATGACTTTTAAGTACATATCACCTCCTTTAACTTACAGCTTCACAGTAAGAGCTAGCTAGGGTTGTTGAATGACTCCATATGGTAAAATCCCTTATCAAAAAGGCTGAAATTAAATGAACAGGCAGAGGAGAGGCACAAATACAAATGATTTTGCATTTTGCTTCCTGCTTCTACTCAAATGTTGGTTACATTCTCGAGTACTGACTGATTGATGCTAAAAAAAGGATTAAAAATTCAGATTTTAATAAAAGATAGAAGGCATGAAGTTCTACAGTTTCCTAATAGTTCTTCAGCACTATGCTTTCATGACAGATGAGGTCAGGATACCAAAGACACTGGTAATTGACAGTCAAATAACAACAGCAACACATGCAACATATGTTGGATTTTCCCCCCCTAATTCTAAAGGGGGAAACTACATCAAAACCAGCGAATTAGTTTTGGCCACGAAGAGGCTGTTTTCTAATGTGCTAGCACTACCTTAAACCACATCTTTTTAGACACTAAAGATTTAAAGAGTAATAAATCCACTAACTTTACTTATTTTTATGTAAATCAGATTTGTTTCTCTACGTACCTAAAATACAATGTACATGCATCAAAACACATTACTCTACAACATGCTCTATGAAAGTAACTGTAGTTAAAACAAGTTCTTCTTTTCTTTAGGGCAAAAATGCACACAGTAAGTGCTCAAATACATATTCCCTAAGTGAATTTTTGCACCGTAACCATTTAATATACCGAAAGTGCTCTAAGGCTGGGGGCACTGCTCGCCGTCCCATATTCTCTACGGGTTTCAACATGCAAATTCACTTACATGGTGTCATTTCTTCACTGAACATTCTCATACCGTGAGTTCACATTTTATAACTGCCCCAAAACGTACAAACATCACCCTACACCATTCTTCACAACACTTTGTTATAGGAAGGTTACGGCTAAACACCAGTACAATAACATGACTACTATTTTGAGAAAATGAAAATTTAATAGGTACAAAGTTCCTGAGGGACATATACACAGCAGAACAAGTCCAGTCCTGATCTGAACCAGCCTTTGATGACGAACGTGGACAGCGGTGATGCCATTATCTTGTAGTGTGAATTTGGGTTTTTCTACCCCTCCTTGACCTCTCTGTGCCTTATTTTCCTCATCCACTTCTAATCCTGTCATTTTACCAATTTAACGTTGGTTTTGCCTAAAGCACGAAACTGGATCTATCAGAACAAAGCACCTACCATCTCACAAAGATCATATATGTGAAAGAATCAGCAAAGTTTTAGGAACTATGCAAATGTAAGGAAAAATACAAATAAAATATAATAGGAAGTCTAATCTGAGCAATATTTAAAAAGTACAAAGTAGAATATTTCAACTACAAATGCGCATCAATTTTTCTTAAGCCTTTTTTTCTTTAATAACCTAGAAACTACTTTAAGTCTGTTTTCTGAAAGTAAAAATATATGAGAAAAATCTTTTTCCTCTGAATTCACGTGATGGTAGTAGTCAATCACTAATGATGTGTGAGTTTCTTTTACTCAGCATCTATCCTTCGTCCATGTCACATGTGATAGGGGATGGCATAAATGCGTTAGAAGTCTGGTTCACCTCTCCCCTGAAGAAAACAAGTGGAAGGAAGAGGTTTAGGTAACGGGCAGACATGAGAATGCCATCTTCTGCTGGATGGGGCAGCACACACCTGCGGTCCTGGCCACTGAGGCGGCTGGGCAGGGGTTTGCCTGAGCCCAGGAGTTCAAGGCCAGTGGAGGCAACACAGTGAGAGCTTGTCTCAAAGAAAAACAAAAAGCAAACCTACCCTAAGAAAAAACAAAAAACCCTACCTCTTAGTTAGGTATAAGGATACTTGCTAGCTGTGATACTTACATCAATATGCGTAATTTGGGGGTTCTGTTTTTGTTTTGGTGAATAATGTCCTCTAAGTTTGCTACAAATACCTAATTAAAAAAGAAAAAATTAAACCCTGGCATTCTTAAAAGTATATTCAATTAAAATACATTTTAGGCTGATGACATATTGGTAGAAAGTACTTTTCAACTAAATCTTCTGAAGTCTTAACATGGGTCAATGATGTTTATATATGTATATATGTATACATACGGATATGTATGTATAAGAAAAATATTAATTTAAACCTTTAAAAAGAGCAATTTTTAAAATGCTTAGGATAGCTTGTGGTGTCCATAGGTAGCTCTCACCAGGGCACTCCACTGAATTTGTGAGATAGAGCTTCAAAGTTATCAGTAATAGAAAGTAAATTTAAAAAAATTAGTGAGGTTTTAAAAGTTACATATTAAGAAATGAATATAACCTGCCAAGTTAAAGCTCTAACTGCCTTTTCTTAGTAACAAGTGGCAGCACCGTCACCAACAGAAGGGAACTGATGAGTTTTAACTATGAATAAACCTGCCCTCACCATTCCTTCTTTTGTCAGACCTCAAAGCTAGGCTCAGGTAGTTAAGGCCTTGGGGCCTCTTTTAAAATTTATGTGGGCAGCTGAAGTAGAGGGCCCAGGCCTTGCTACTCTATTTTTTTTTTTTAATTAACCATCCCTAATATACTTTTCAATGATTATTCTAATGAAAAAACAGTATAGGTGTGTGTAGTACTGTATGTCACCATTCATTATTTAAGTAACTTCTATCTTCTATGTAGGAAAACACAAGTTTTACTTTGTAATTTCAGATGAGCCGATTTTCTTCAGTGCAAACATCCAGAAAGAACACAAAATTATTCAGTATTCAGAGGATAAAGTCAGTTTCTGTAGTGCTTAAAGTGCAACCCCAGATATTCTGGCATGGAAATAGCCCAAGGGAGATTCACCCTTGTGGGCAAATGATCATCTTCAGGGAGTGAAGATTACTTTATCTGAGATCACAGATAAAATACTTTAGCTTTATAGGTACTGTTGAAGTAGTAAGAGGACTAGTCTTTTACTGAGGCACATAACCACCTTGCCTCACAGTCTGCGGTAGGTAACTCTTAGGCATTCCCTCATCAACTGCGGCCTCCATCCCAGCTGTTTCCAATCTCTCTGCCGGTGCCTCAGTCTCGGAGCCGAACACATCTGTTGTAGAAACTCCCTGAAACATTTTCATTTGCTCAGCTCCACAGGACTGTGAAATAGGATCTGAAATCTGCTGCTGTTTAAGTCTAAGAAAATCTTCCTCATTGCTTGATGAAACTTGCTTTGACCTTTCAAAATGTGAAATATCTGGACTGGTTTTAGGTTGATGGCAGTTCTGTTTGAAATACTGTTGCTGGGGCAAAATGCCATCACCGCTGTCTACATTATCTACCAACTGTAGATCTTCCGGCCGCTCTTCTGAATCTAACAGGGGCTGGGTGGACTCGGATCTGGAGAAAACTTGAACTGATGGAACCTGGTGCCTGTAGCCACTATGCACCACAGTAGAATACTGGACCGTGCTTGAAGTGTTCTGTGCAGACTCATTTTCATCACCACTAGAAATGCTTGGCCTAGAAGATGACATGCATGAAGAACCCCCAATGCCACTGCTGTGTCCTTCAGTACTAATTTTTTCCTTCTTGAATAGGTCCAAGGATTTCAGATCTTCTGGAAAAGGCTTTTTGTCATTTGCTTCTATTTCCACAACACTTACATCAGTGAAATTGCCATCTGAATATATTTGATCTTTTGAATTAAAATTGTGCTAGGAAAGAGAGAAAATGGATTATTACCTATGATGTATATTAATTTAGAAACTCTCAGAGTTAATCAATGCATCTCTGAAACTTTTAGTCATGTGGTAATGTCACTAAATCACTGTCAGTTCCCTGACTTGTATATAATGTAAGGTAGAACTGGCAAAAGACTCTGTCAGAATCAGTCTGTAATATCCCTAGAATTTCCAAATCAGTAGTGTTGGTATTATATTTTGAATAAACCAAAGGTCTACAAATAGTTTTTAAGTTGGGTGTGGTGGTATACACCTGTAACCCCAGCACTTGGGAGCCTGAGCAGGAGGATCGCCACAAGTTGAAGACTAGTCTGGGTTACATGGCGAGTTCAAGGCCAGCCTGAACTACACAGTGAGACCCAATCTCCATAGAAACAAACAAACGAACAGTATTTATTATTTCATGCCTCTACTAGGCAGCATAGGGTTAACTGGTTAGAAAAACAAGAAAACATTAAGAAAAGCAAATTCGAAAAACAAACTTTATAGAATTTGAAAATAGGTAACATCCTTAATTCTTATTGTTAGTATAAAATTTAAAGATAATTTGAGGATAATAAATACAAATGATTTCCCCATTGAGGTATCTTTTAAGTGTTCAGAGTAAGTTTTCCAAAGTCACACTAACTCTTAAAATGGTAAACTGTGAAAGCAGGTCTTAATCACCAATCCAATTCAAAATGCTTATGTAACAGTTATCACTATGGAGCAGTTTTAGCACCCGAAATTTTTAGTCTGCAAGTTCAAATTGCTGTAATGTTTACTGCATAGAATTCGGAATATCAGACAAATATACTGTGATAAAAGCCCCAGAATATGTAGGCATCATTTTTAATTTTGACAATAATTTTCATTTATGTATTATTTTATTTTCATTTACTTTTTGATTCATCCTGAATCTTCTGGATGAACTCTAAATATATCCTACTAGGCCTGTACATTATAAATAAGTCAGAAGCAGTTGAGCTTACCCTGGGAGGCGTGTGAGGTGACCACTGGGCAATATGACTCTTTGAAGGGTCTGGAACATTGGGCCAGATGTGCTTTTTAATTCTAAAGCAAGAAAAAACATGGCATATGTAGAACCGCATGTAGTAAAACAAGGAACAGTCCCTATTTCTAAACAGCTCATCTACGAATCTTAAAAACCAAACCAATCAACCAAAAGATCAGTAACAACAAAAAAAAGCCTATTCCACCCAAAGCCAAACAGAAACTTTATCCAACAATTTCAGTACACCACCTTCCCAACAAAAACAAACAGGAATGTTGACATTGATAACAAATAAAATATGATAAATTTTATTTTTTACAACAAGGAAGAACAGAGTGTTGTATTGATGTATGTAAGAAAGACACAGTTTAATGAAATGAAACAGAGCACAGAATTAGATATAGATTTATATGATAACTGATTTTTAGCAAAAGTGCTAAGATAATTCAATAGCAAAAAGATGGTCTTTTCAAAACAAATGATGTTAGAACTAGGCATATGTGGGGTGAGAAAGTCTTGCCCCCAATCTCACACCATATACAAAAATTAACTTGTGGGGGGATCACAGATATAAGTTGAAACTTAGGAACATCTCTGAAAAAGTACTGAACTTGTAAGCTGCGTGTGGTAGTGCACATCTGTAATCCGGCACTTAGGAGGCTGAAGCAGGAGGATCACTGCAAGTTTGAGGCCACCTTGGGCTACACTGTAAGTTCAGGGTCATTATGAACCCAATAGCAAGATCCTATCTCAACACAACAACAAAATCACCAAAAAAACCTCCCTACAGAGCCTCTAGAATAAAACAGAAGAAAATATTTCTGACACTGCATTAGGCAGCAATACCTTAAATAAGACACAACATGCATGAACTACAAGGGGAAAATACTGGTAAATGGACTTCCAAATTAAAACTTCTCGTTTTCTAAAGTCACAGTTAAAAAAGCCAAATAACAATGCATAAACTGGAACAAAAATTTGGAAAAAATATAGTTGACAACAATTCTGTAACTAGAACATCTAAAGGACTTACACCTCCATATTAATTAAACAAACAACTGGGAAATGGGCAAAAGATTTCAACAGACACATCACAAAAGAAAACATGTGACACATGAAAAGATCTAATTCATCAGGGAAATGGAAATTAAAACTACAGTGAGTTCTATACACTCACTTTTAGAAAAAAATCATGAAAATGAAAAACTCTAACAGTACCAAGTGTTAGTGATAATATGAAACACAGCCACTCAAACAGTTTGGCAGTTTCTTACAAAGTTAGACATTCACTTACCACATGACCCAGCACTCCAAATCCTAGGTATTTATTCAGGATAAATGAAACATACGCCCATAAAAAGTTTTGTACATGAATGTTCATAGCAACATTATACATAACAGAAAAAATCAGAAAAATACCTAAACTTCCACAACTGATGGATAAACTTTGACATATCCATTCTATAGAATACTATTCAGTGATAAAAAAATATTAGTATAACTATATTAGTATAAGCACCAATATAATGAAATCTTTAAAATATTACGCTAAGTAAAAAATATACATAAAATACTGCATGCTATTTGATTTCATGTACATGACATTCTAGATAAGACAAAAGTACAGTTAAAGAAAGATTGTAACTGCCTGGGGTTAAGTGTTAAGGGAGAGGACTGATGACAAAAAAGCAACAAGGGAACTTTCTAGGTGATGGAAATGTTCTGTGTCTTCACTGTGGTGGCATACATTCACATACAATTACAAAATTGAAACTGTAAACTTAAAATAGATAAATTTTACTGCATATAAATTATAGCTCTATGAAGTCAGGGAAAAATGCAAAAACTATGAATATGAGTACTTACAGGTCTCGCTTATTAAAGCAGAACAATACACCTAGAAGAGTTGTCAACAGGAATGCTAAGCAAACAGGCACAACTATGGCTTCTATTTCTCCTTGAGCTAAAAAAGAGGTTGTAATGAGAACTGTTGACATAGACACAGTGGAGAAATAACATAATACCATTCTAATTTTGTTTTCTGCCTTTTCAGACTTTTTCTCTTTTCTTGATAAATCAGAGCCTACTCTTTTATCTTTACACAGTAACCTGACCATGTAATAAGCATAAAATATACCTGACCCTAATCCTAGTTGCATTTAAAAAAAGCCTTACTAGTCCAATGTATCAGCAATTGGGATGACTAATGTTGCAGATATTTTCCTAGTTAATTCTTCCATTCATCCAACTCTTCCAGCGTTTTTGGGTAAACCATAGTTTACCCAAAGCCCCTTGGGTAATCTTTTAATTAGTTTTCTACAGGACAGATGTATGAAGTATTAGTCACATACTATTCACTTAATTTGTAAGTAACTTTACATCCCACAAAGCTCAGCCGAAATCCGAAAATCAGAACAATGCTTGGGATATGGGTTAGCAAATATTAATTCTTGAATATTCAGGATCTCAAATGCAGAATGCCAAATCTAATTTAGGCAAAAGCTACCTTTTATTATTGTTAAACTTCTGCCTTTATGTTTTCATGCACTGGGCCTTTACTCGTGCCACTCTTTTCTTTTTTCTATCTGTCTACACTCTAACTTTAAGGTTCTGGCACACATCTCTCTCCATCTATTTACTATTTACATAGCCCAACTGGCTCTCCATTTGTTTTATTTACTTTGCCTGTATTCCTTCAACAAAGCTGTAAGAGTCTTTGGGGCAAGACCCACACCATGTGAAGAAGCCATAATTGAAGCCACAGATAGGTTTAAAAAAAATTATAAAAATAAAATAATACTGTTTCCATTTTCTCCCTTGCATTCCCTTTTTAAAAATCTTTCTCCTTTCCTTCCCTTTCCCTCTCCCTTGCTCCTCTTCCCATGTGAACCTGTTCTTCCTACTTCCCAATATCTTCCATTTTGCTGCTTACATATTCTTTGAGTTTCTCACACAAGAGAAATACAGTACTTAAACTTGTGTGTCTGATTTATTTCACTTAAGATTATGGTTTTGAGATGCGTCCACTTGCACAAAAAAAGTCTCAACTTTATCCATATTATGTATAGATGCAAATTCTCCACAATGAATGTGATCATTATGTATGGCAAACATGTACGAAGAAAATATTAAGATTAAAAAAATAGTAAGCACGACCTAACTTTTGCAAAAATGTATACACAGAAAACACCCAAAAATGTTAGATTATTTTTGGGTGAGAGATTGGGACTGAGTTTTCTTCCTCTTTGCATTTAAAACTGTATAAATTCCCTATATTTCAATCAGCGAAAGTATTTTTAGAGTTTTATTATTTTTTCTAATTTTTTACTTCAAGTACTACTGTTATATATCTATTCTATTTCTACGTCACCACATGGGACAAATCTTAGCCTAGAAACTAAATTACTGGCCCTAAAAGGGAAGCTCAGGGCCTTTTATCATCTATTTAAATAGTTACTCATCCACTCATTCTCTCCTCTGGCAATCATTCAACCAATAAAGAGCATAGAGATTACTATTAATCATTCTCCTGGTTATTATTCAGGGCTGAGAGTTACAAATACAATCATAGGAAGATAAAGTCATTTCTGTAATGATCCAAATAGTGGAAAGACAGAATGCATGTAGGTCTTCTTCAAGGAGGCTACAGAACAGCCAAAGCCAGAGAAGGTGAGGACACTAGGGCGATGACTCAGAAAAGACAGGAAAAGGTGGAGAGTGTGGGGGTGCTTATGGTCAAAAGCTGATTATGAAAGGGTAGGCGTGCACAGGAGTTAAGTGTCATCAACAGAACGTGACACGGGTGATGTGAGAGAAATAGATGTGAAGACAGTTACTGATCTGAGTAATTCTGGTTTCGGTCAAGAGTTGGATGGTTGTGACACAGAACAGAGAGAAACGTGTCTGGGAAGGAAAGAGAGGACGGCTGAAGTCACAGAGAGTACAAATAGGCAGAGACACTGGGCCAAAACACAGTGTCGGGGAATATAAACGCTATAGAAGTGGAGCAGAAAACAGGAGGGACCAGCAAAGGAGGAGACTGAGGAAAGTGCTAATAGAAAAACAAAATAAGGACAATACGCTAACGGGAACAGAAAAACGGTGAAAATGAAGAACCATGTACTGACTGCGATGACTAAAGTCTTCCAAGGGTGATGTGGCTGGAAGCCTGATTTCACTGAGTTAAAAGATGAGCGGGAGGGAGAAGTGGGGATTCTATAGTGAACTGGCTTTTCAGCTAACCTGTCCATAAAAGAAAACAACCGGAGAGAAGGGGGAGAGCAACGATACCCACCTCAGGGAAGAATGAAGCCTCTTAGAAAGATAATACAGTCAGAAAGTTAGTAAGACAACAAAAAGGGGAGAAAACAGGAAACCGGACGAACAGGGCATAAACATCACAAGTTGTGACCACTTCATTGCTAGGAATCCAAAGGTGCACTTCTTTGGGCAGTAAGTGGTGCTGGGGATGGAGCCCGAGTCTTGCGAACACTGAGACAGTCTCCACCTCTGAGCTACACTCCTATCCTATACACTCCTTAGGTGCGCTTTAAAACAACAGAATAGTAAGTCCATTTCCAGTCTGATTAAATATAAAACCAAGAAATGAAAGTCAAATTTTATTATTTCTTACCAAACTTTGGTGTAGTAAAAGTGAATTCTGGGCCATCCTTTCCACCTTCATCTGTGTACGCTGTCATTCGTACCATGTACAATGTGTCACTATTCAAAGAGGTCAATGTGTATTCCGTGTGGGAAGAATCTACATTCACAGCTGGAAGAAATAAAAAAATTATTGTGCTTTATTCAATGTTTTTGCTTCATCTGTCCTGTACCTGGCACTGTGAAAATATTAATAAAGAATAAATATATTTTTCTTGGAAAACAACCTTTACAACTCAGACAGTATTTTTCTATAAGTACAATGCAGTATTTTTTTTAATAGGGCCATGAACACAACTGTAAGAAATATTCACAGCTGTCTCCTCAGGATAAAATATACTATCATAAAATTTACAATATACTAAGGTGAGAAGTATTTAAAAACTTAAGGAAAAAACTGATTAATAACTGATGATTTTATTACCAGTTTCATTTCCAATGATGGTTCTATAAAATATGGTATAATTTCTGATAAATCCATTCTGAACATCAACAGGAAGCTGGTCCCACTGTAAGACAGCTTCATTTTTCCCCACTTTTTTTGTCCGAACAGTAGGTCCTTTGGAAGGTGCTGTAACAGAATAAATGTATTTTCTAAGCAGTATAATGTAGTACATTCCTTAGAACAAAATTATCTGAACATGAAATGTATCCTTATTTCAGTCATAAAATGTATTTAATGCTAAACTACATTTTTCAAAGAAAAAGTGCCTGGACTTACGAGCCTGTTTGAGGTATGCCTTGGTAGACTCGGGGCTGCCTGGCCCGTCGCTGTACACTGGAGTGACTGTTATCAAGTAACACTTGCTCCCCAACAGCTCCCCTAAAGTGCAAACAATGGAGTAAGCATTTTTTTTACTGAAAAATTCAAATTAATTCCATTATTTACATTTATAGTATAACTTCATGACACTTAGTTTTCATTTAAAACTACAGTTTTCTAAAGTCAGCATTGCCTTTTGTATACTGGACTCTAACAGTGAAACTGTTAAAAAAGCAAATGTTATTTTATTATTAATAAAGTGAATAAGGGGCTGGGGATTTAGCTAAGCGGCACAGCGCCTGCCTGGCAAGCGCAAGGTCGCGAGTTCGATTCCCAGTATCGGAAACAAAACAAAACAAAAACAAACAAAAAAACAAAACAAAACATTACAGTGGATAAAAATATTTGTATTGTTAATACAAGAAGTGACTACATCTATATTCAGGATTTATATCTAAAACAAGATCTCAAATTATTCTGGCCTTCCTTAGAACTTGACAACTTCTTAAATACCTAATTCTCTGAGAGCTCCCTAGTGAGCAAAATGCCACTAGTAAGATGCAGGGAGATGCACTAATGGCCCTGGCTTGTCAGAAGAACTGGAAAAAGAATTAGTGCTATTTCCCCTACAGTTAAAAAAATTATCTTAAATGCAGTACTTCTTTTATTTACAATCCTCCCAAATTATCAAAGTCATTTATTCTTTTAGCATGCAAATAGTAACATTTTCTTCCTTTTATAAAGCCTACCCTCTGTCCATCTCAGAAAAGCTGCTTCTCACCACTTTTTTTATTTCAATACAACTTCTATTTCCTTAACTATATGTGCCTTTGCCTTCTTAGAAGAGTAATTTTACTTCTTGATACCTTATGAAGAAATGAACAATCTTCAAAACTGTTGTGCTTTTACAAAATGATTTGCCATAAAGATTTTTCCTCTTTTTGTATGTTTGTTTTGCTTCTGGTTTTCTTTTTGGTGGTACAATAGAAAGAATGTTTGGCAGCAATACATCTGGGTTCCAGTGTACCACTGCCTGCCTGCACATCCTCATCAAGATCTGAATGTTCTTCTGCAAAATGTGGCCTTGGAAAAACTCTTGAGGACGTTTGCTAGATCTAAGTTTCACTAATTTCATGAAGGAGAATACACTTATAATAAATATGTACTGCTAATTTCTATTAGTTCACCGAAAGGAACCATTAGTGCTTATACTGTTTCATCAATTTTGCATGCCTATAACTGGTGATCTAAGCAACTACTTTGAAGATAACAATATGTAATATAATAACCACTGTTAATTTCCTATCATCTTGTTTTGAAATTCTGTATCATATTGTTTTTTTCTCTTTAAAATTAAAAAGTAATAGTAAGTTATTTCATACACAAAAAAGAAACGACCAATTTTCAGCTGTTGTGGTAACGCTTGTTTTCAGAGGTACTGAGCACAGGCGCCTATTGCCTCGTCTGGTTCACACCATCTAGCTCACGCCAACCTGGCTCCTGCCTGGCTCCACCATGTTTTATTTGATAAGGCTGAGAAACCAGACAACCAAAGCATATTAAACTGTATTTTAAACAGCATCTTAGTAAAAGCCAAACAGCCTACTTTAACAAATAAAGCTCAAAACTTTATGGCAGGTATCTCTCTGCTTAGGACTCTTCTCTAATCATGTTATTTACAGCTGAATTCTAATGATTATCCTTATTCATTAAAAAGGAAAAGCACACACATGCTAAATGTTTTTGTTCTTTTTTTAAAGCTTTGGAATTACTTTACAGTCATATAAGCAGCTGACTGCATGGGATTATCCTTTTTCTATAATATCACTACTTTCTATCTTTTGTTAGTACTTGTAATTGAAAGGCATCAGGAAACCTGTGATCTGGTTCAGCTTCCCTGGCTCAATGGCTGTAAAAGGTTAAACAAGTCATCTAGATGCTCCAGTGAACTATTTCCTCATTTGAAGGATGAGGGAGTTAAATGAAGTACAGAGAACACACACAATCAATCAGCAAAGGTGAAATTTTTTGTACTTCTTTACTGTTTTCTGGGTGTTCCTCTAGTGATAAAACAATATTGGGGTAGTTAATAAAGACAGAACTGACCCCATTCTATCGGTTACGATAAATTAGTTCTTTTGACCACAATGCCTATAAACCAGAAGAGAATTAGCCCAAAAACAAAAAAACCTGTCTAAATGGTTAGAAAACGAGCATCAATTTAAGTGCATCTGGCCAGGTTTACCTCTTAAATAGGTGCGACGGACGATACCACTTTCTTGCTGCCAGTCTGGGATACAGGGCGATTTATCTGACAACACACACCACTCGAGAATGTATTTCCTTACAGCTTTCCCTGGAGGAGTCCATTCCACCCAGAGCATGTTATCTTTAGGGTATGCTTTAAGGTCCGTTATAGGGTGAGTAGCTTTAAAACAGGATGCCAACATAATAAAAGAACATTTACAAATCTGAAATTTCAGTATTTTATAGTTATTTCCAAGAAATTTATGATTTATCAAGTGTTGTAAGCATATAACATGTATTTCCATGAACAGAATTACTTTTATTTTTTGTTACTGGAGGTTGAACCTGGGCCTTCACTCTGAGTTACATCCCCAGTTCCTCTCCCTAGCCCCAGCTTTTTAAAATTTTATTCTGAGTTGGTCTCACCAAGCAGCTAAGTTGCTCAAGCTGAACTCAAATTTGCCATTCTTCTGTTTCAGCCTCCAAGAATGCTGGGATTGTAGGCATGTGCCATTTCAGTTGGTTTAGAAAAAGGACTTTATAACTTACATTTATGGTAGTCAATTTATTTTTAAAATTAAATCCTTGCTTTCCCCAAAGTTTTCATTTTGGAACTGTTATTTTGTCCTCTTTAAAAGCTATAAACAACATATTTAAGTCACATGCATATAAAATTCTCAAAACTCTTGAAATGTTTCAAAAAACCAGGTAAGTAATCAGAAAATGCTTAAATGAATTAAGCAGCTTACCACAAAGTTTAAGGGAGCCACACAGGGATAAAAGTATTTCGCATATTACTGAAAATTGCCTGCTGATTTCTAAAAATATAATCATCCCTGATACAGGAGATCGACTCAGACTATTTGTATCTTTAATGAGATTCCTAGCCATACCTAATCATCTTTATTTAACCACAAACCAGGATCCATCTCAAAGACACATACCTTGAAAGTCACAGGCGGGGATAGTTAAAACAGATGCATCTGATTTGCCAACCAGATTTCTCGCTGCTAGTGTTGCTATATAGCGATCATTTGTGAGATTCACTGTCAAGTTTGTGTCATTTACTGTGTAATTTTGTGAGCGTGATTTCCATCTTGTTAGAGTCACTTCATAATCCAAGATTTTCCCATTGGCCTCAGAAGGAGGCAGTGTCTGCAATAAAAGTTTGTTTTAAAAATTTTTTAAAATCTTGAATAAATTCACAAATTCTACCATCATGTTAAGCCTCTAAACATTTAAATGGAAGGGACTGGAGAACTTACTTTGTACTCAGTAGAAAAGTAATGTAATACAAGGAAGAGTAACAGCATGACCTCAGCAGTGTGAGGGCAAGGAGTGAGACTGCCCCCTTGTCGTTCTGCACTGGACTATATTTGCCTATACTGCTTGTTTATGCCTGAGTGCTTCTCTCCCTACTTTTCTTAGTATGAGCTACTCTTGTACATGAATGAGTTTATGAGCACACGTTTTGATTACCCCTAACTTTTATCAATTATTTTCTATGAAACATGCCAGTAAATTCAATAAAGTACAGAACAGGTTTCTTCTTCATACAAAATTTATGCTCTCACAGAACTGCGCTGAAAGACCTAGGAGAGATTATCTGCAGATTATGAACCCGACCTCTTTCTAGTCTAAAGCTTTGTGTTTCTATTTATTAAACACAGTTATCAACTGCTTTGCTGATTCAACATGAATAAAACTCTTAAGTGTTAAAAAACCTATACTCACATACCATTAATATGTATTTATATAAAAGAATGTAAATGTGTGGGTTTTTTTTTTACCTTCCATATGAGCTGTACAGATCTGGAGCCTTGAGTATGGGATGGTATCTTATACCAAAAACTTGGTGCTTTCGAAGGTCCTAAAGAAAACATAAACTTAGTTTTAACAATGCAATAAAATCCTATAAATTATTCTCCTGTACATAGCTTGATTCTTTTCCCCCCCATTCCCCTACCCACCCTTTATCCCTTCTTCCCCACCTTATTTAGAAAAGCTGTTTCCATTTTTTTCTTTTCTCTTCCTTCCTCCCCGCTCCAAGTTCCCCTTTCCATTTGAACAATTTTTTATTTCACAATATTTATTGTACATTTTGGTGCTTATTTATACTTTCGGTTTCTCACACCAGAAAAACGATGCAGTGTTGATACATGTGTCCAATTTATTTCACTTAAGAGTGTAGTCTCAAGGTGCATCCATTTAACTAGAAATGTCCCAAGCTTATCTTTCTCTACAGCAGAGTAGTACTCCACTGTATGAAAAACGTCATCTTATCCATTCATCAGTTAATGGGCATTTGGGTTGTTTCCAAGATTTAGCTATTACAAACTACAACAGTATAAACACAGGTGTGCATATATCACTGCAGTATGATGCTTTTATCTAATTCTTCACAGCTGCATTCTCCCCTCCCAAGAAAATATGCCCAGGTCTTCTTTCGGTCAGGAGGATAGCTTGATGATGTAGGTTACAATCATTTTATTTTATTATTATTATTATCATTATTATTATTTGGAGATAGGGTCTCATTACATACTTCAGGCTGGGCTTAAACTCATTAGCCCAGGTTGGCCTTGAATTTATAGTAATCCTACTGCCTCAGCCTTCCAGGTACTGGGATTACAGGGGTGTACCACCATGTCCAGCCAATTTTTTTCAGACAGGGTCTTACTATGTTGCCCAGACTGGCCCCAAACTCCTGGGCTCAAGCAATCTTCCTGCCTCAGCCTTGTATGTAGCCTGTGCTACAACACCTGCCTACAAATTATAATGAAGCTCTTATCATCAAAATTATAAATACACAAATGTATTCTAGGCAATAACTAAAAATAAGAATCTTGTGTCCTTTATTCTTAATAATCTTGTGTTGTTTACTCTGTTTGGATGCAGCATGTACTCATGCACATAACTACTTTAATCTCTGCACTGGTGGCCTTTCCCCAGCCTTCCTCATCTGCTTGTCCTCTGTTCAGGGTCTCATTTACAACTGCCTCTTACAACCAACACATTATGGCTTAGATTTTACTCAAATCCTCTTCTGACTATAGTACCTTGCAATTATACTTGTAATAATTTTGAAAAATCAGTTGACACTACTAAGTTTTTAAAAGATGAGGAAGATGGTATAGCTGCTGAAGCCCTGGGTTTGACCATTAGCATCACATATAAAATAAATAAAATTTAAAAAGACAGGAAACCTTCAATATGAAGTTTTTATTTTAACAATGATAAAACAGAAATGAGATAAAAATCAGTTGATGTTATTTACTGCTAAATATCAAATTGAAAAATCATACATAAATACGTGGCTAAAACCCTTACATAAGTCTATTACTTTATGTTGGGACAATTTAAAGTGATAGGATATAAATGTCAAACACCAGTAGAGAAGTTGCCCCTCATCTGTAGGGGTACTGTTCTAAGACCCCATGGATGCCTGAGACTCTGGAGAGTACCGAATCCTACATACACTATGTTTTTCCTATACATAGTCATAATAAAGCTTACTTCAGAAGTGTGCACAGTAAGAGATAAACAATACATTATACCATAATAAAATTTATTTTAAAACTTTTAAATTATTTCTGGAATTTTCTATTTTATAGTTTTGGACCATGAGTAACAAATCACAAAGTGACACTGCAAATAAGGAGCCAGTCATTCAGTAACACAAGGCTAACCTTCCATCAGCTGCTGAAAGCCTTCTTCTGGCTATTCATGTTGCATGCTTGCTTCTATTCTGTTCATCTGCTGTGTCAGTCTGGACTAAGACATTTTATCATTTAAGCAAGATCTCTCTGCTTTTTCTTTTTAGTTTTTATTTGACTACATTGTGGGAAACTGGAATATATACATAACACATCTCAATTCTTCTCCCCTAACCTATCCTTTTCATTTTTTATGCCCGCATCAGATTTATTTATTTATTTCATAAGTCCTTGTGAAGTTATCATAAATACAAATTAACAGCCAGATTAAGAGGCCAAAAACATACAAAACACATATGACAATTATACTAAATCAAGGTACACTTATAGATATATTGTCATGCTGGATTATAATAACTTTTTTTCCTCTCTTTTTTTCCTGTTAACTTTTATTTTTCACTTTATGTATATATTGGGTTTCTCATATATTTCCAGGCATTTATAAGGGAGAGAAAATTGTTAAGGGAGAAAGATTCTTTTCTTCCTTTAGCATTCTCAATTCAAATAATGACCTAAGCCTCTACCTGAGCTGGAAGTGAAGCAACACAAGTGGCAAGAGAGGCTTTTAAGCTGTACCTACGGCCACTGAGAAAAGTGGGGCTGTGAATAGGAAACGGTTCAAAAGTAAGTAACTGGGCTGGGGACATAGCTCAGTGGCACAAGCACCTGTCTGGCAAGCACAAGGTCCTGAGTTCAATTCCTGGTACCAAAAAAAAAGTTAAGTATCTGTATGCCACAGGATAACCTCTTTATGAGTACTTCACACATCAGTGAGGTTATGAAGTAGAAGGGTCACTATTAGACAAACAAGAGGGATCAAGGAGAGGGGGCGGTGGGAGGGGGACCAGAGGGGTGGATGTGACCAAAATGTTAATATGCATAAAAGAAAAGGCCACAATAAACCCAATGTTCATACAATTAATATAAACTAATAAAATATAGAAAAATAAAATTTGATAAAAAAAGGTATTTTAGTAATGTCAACTGCTTTGTGGAAAGAATCTTTCTTTAGACTATACCATTTTGTGTCTTCTGTATTCCATTCTATTCTACATATGCTATATTATCTATGGGAGAAAAAGAAAATTAAACAACCAAATCCAAGATCACTCCTTTATCAGAGACTTATCAAGTGCTGTTGGAAAAGAATGAATGAAAGTTGTAACACAAATATCTTTCTGATAATAAGGACTTAAGGTGTATTTTGTTAATTAGTGTGACTTCAATTATTCAAATTATAAATCTCTGGGCCACTCTTCTTGAATGAAATGTTGGACTTATCAAAAGTTAATTCTGCTTTTTTGGATGGCATCCAAGACACCCTTCCATGATAATGCAATTCAAAAGCAAATATCTTTATATTATTAATAATGCATTTGATTACCAAAGAAACAATGAGGTCTATATTATTAAAAGCAGACATTCACAGCCAGAATTCCACTAGCTTTCTATCTCTTGTTTACATACTAGCTTCATATGTGACCCCACGTGCGTCTTCACTCCAGTCACTCCAGAAGCCCTTTCCATCTCCCTTCATACAGCGAATCCTAAACACATATTCTGTGAATGGTTTAAGGTCCTGGACAGTGAAAGAAGTTCGGGTTGTTGCTGTGTCTTCAGGAGGAATCTGAAAATAAAGCAAACATGCCTTAACATGCAGAAACTCAGGATGAGAGACTCAGCCTGCTCCAGAAAGAAAGCAGCGTAATAAGCATGCTGCTATCATTGCTCTTCCATCCCTCCTCTCTCCTGCCGGGGTCTGTCCTCTCATTAACTCATGGGAAGTCAGATGTAATGGGAACCCACAAATAAAATCCATATGGGTCAGCGTGACATTATAAAGAGTAGTGTGAGGAAGACAGTGTAGAACTGGACAGGTAAAAGGAAGCATCTATCTAGCCTCATCAAGAAAAACAAAAGATACCTGAGTAGATAAATTTACCTTTCAGAAAAAAAAAAAACAAAAAAAAAAACCCATAGGTTAAAACTCTGATATTACTGCTCTAGATTTCAATATTGGATGCAAAGCAGATATTAGGTGTTTTGTACCACTGAATTAAGTTCTATAATACTAAAACGATCTTGAATTTTAGGCATGTATCTTTTCTGCATTACCTAAGTCATTAATTCTGTTACCTTTTCGGATTGTTTTGAGTTCTTTGGAAAGTGGGATGGGGAAATAGTAAGGTCTTAGGCTCAATTCCTTATATGCTCTTTGTTATAACAGAGCAATAAGTAAATAAACAAAAGTAAATAAGTAAAACAAAAACAAAAGCACAGTTAGTAATCACTGTAATTATAACAAACTATAGTATGAGTATATTCAACACTATGGTGGTAACTTTTTAAAAAGTTCCAAGGTATTTCTTTTGCGATAGTACGATATTTAGGTACATCATTCCTTTCCTTTTCAGTCTTACAAATTCTCCACCAATCCCATTCTATACCTCAGGAGTTGGCAAACTTGTTAAAAGAAAAGGCTATATAGTAAGTATTTTGGGCTCACAGGCCAATCTCTGTTGCAATAATTCAACTCTCTTATAGCACAAAAACAGTAACATGTAAATAAATGAGTGTGGCTATGGGCCAATAAAACTTTATTTAAAACACAGGTGGCAAGCTGAACTTGGCCTGCCCTACCTTCCTCCAAATGGTCTCTATTTTTGTTATTACTTTTTTTTTTAATTTTAAAGAAAATAGTTCAAAAAAAAAACAATAGCAAAATACAAACAGTACAAAGCAAGGACATTAAAAATGATACAGGGTTTCAAACCAAATGATAGAGACTAACAGTGGCTGTTATATTATATATTGTTATCTTCAATGAAGTTGTTCAGATTACCAGATGTAAGAATAGAAGACTGATCAAATCATTTAAGGGAATAAGAAAATAAAAATCTAAAAGAACATTAGAGACAATACATAGTATCACTATGGAGGACTGTAAGAATTCACCAATGGATATTATACTGCAAATTGTTGTCTCTATTTTTGCACCTCTACTTAATTTGCTCCTTTACTGCTTGTACTCCCTTCATCTCTTCATCTAGAACCATTTTCTTTGTCACCTACATCACTTCTGCATTTCCCTATAGTTCCTGTATACATAGGGTTTTTGATCTAGATGTCCTCTGGTTTGTCCTTACTTGACACAGAAGACCCAGAACAGGTATCAACAGGTTTTATATAAAATGGAATGTAAGACCTTCAAAAAATGATTGAGACTTTCAGGTTAGAAGCATCAGGAAAAATTTTTTGAATAAACAGTAACTTTTAATTTACCTGGCTCCAAGTTGAAGCATCTTTGGTCTTATAATGAATGTCATATTTCAGTCTCATAACATTCATAATACTTGGATTGATCCATGTTAATTTTAAGATACTGGACAGCTCCTCTGAGTTGCTCACTGATAAATTACGAGGTGGATTGGGCTTCACTGAAACATAAAATAAATTCTAATGTTGATCATTTTTTACTTTTATAGCTTTACAAAGTCACACATGTACTTTCATTTTTCTTTATTTTCTAGTACTGTTTTCATTTTTTCTTACCAAATCAACCAATTTCTTTGGAAATGATGCTGTTATTTATTGTAACAGAAGGTTTCTAAGAAAACAATTTTTCTTGTCAATTTGGTATATATAGCCAGGGATATAGCTCAGCAG